TATATTATGTGGAAAATAATGTGTTTTTTTAACCTTAAACCGCATAAACACATTTCATTACACCAAATACACAAAATAATGTTCTTTTTAGCAGCATCATATGACCCCTAGTTCATATTCTGCGCTCATCTGTTTTCCTGGACATAGCATGCTTTATTAGTAAGGTGTGCACTGAATGTGGCCTTTTAATATCACTGTCTCTGAGTAGGGGCCGAGTATGCAACATCTTTTTTTTACCTCTTCATGCATTAACTAAGCGTTTTCTTTATATAAGAGGAAAACGCTTAACGTGTAAATAAACACGTTGCGTTCACATTTTGGGCTCATATGCGTATCTGCACATAGTATGCTTTACGATTTTGTCTTTATCTCTGTCTTGGTACAAGCCACATTAAGCGTTATTTGTGTTGAGCATTGTATAATGTCTCTGTTCAAGTTCTGCTAATTCACAAGCCAAGTGAGAGTCATAATCGCAAGGGTAATGTTAATTATTAAAACAAACAAAATCAAAACTATCAAAAACACGCAGCTATATAATTATTTTATTGAGTAATAGGCAGTGGGTTTAATCAGTGACATTATTAATAGATTTACTATCTGGCGTCTTCTCGTCATCTCCACGACCTGCTTCCCTTTGTGTTTTCATACATAGAAAAGGTGAAAAAACATATCACATTGTCCAGTTTCCTCTCAGAGCGATGATCTGAGTTACTATTGCAATTCTCGATGCAGCATGAATGAGATACAATGGTGACATTTTTCACAATCACGACAGAAAATCAAACTACCGCGCTAAACTCAATAGCGGAAAGGCAGTGTGATCCTCCCAGTATGGCGGATAAACAAAGAAGTTTCCCAGAACTCAATGCGGCGTGACGTCAGCTTCACATTCTCTTTAGTAAGACAATAGGCGCAGACCAATCGGCCGATCGGTCTGCGCAGTGCCGATGCATCTTGAGCAAACCTAATGGGGGCAGTCGTGGCCTAATGGTTAGAGAGTCGGACTTGTAACCCAAAAGTTTCGGGTTTGAGTCTCAGTTCCGGCAGGAATTGTCAGTGCGGGGAGTGAATAACCAGCGCCCTGTTCCACCCGCAATACCACGACCCTTGAGCAAGAACCAAACCCCCAACTGCTCCCCGGGCATATGGCTGCCCACTGCTCTGGGTGTGTGTTCACTACTGTGTGTGTGTGCGCACTTGGATGGGTTAAATTCAGAGCACAAATTCTGAATATTGGTCACCATACTCGGCCACACTTCACTTCTCTGTCCATTCTGCTTTTCACTTCCTGCCCTCCATCTGAATTTCGCTCGTGATCAGAATCACGTATCAGAAAGCCTTTCCTAGGAACTGAAGTTTAATAATTGTTTCCTGCACGTTCCCTTATTTGCTACGCCCACCGGTACGAGATGACTGTAGGGATTATGCGCAACAGACTTCCGTATCCTGTTATCCAGGTCTCGTCGCTTCCGGTTCAAGCGTTTTGCATATGCTTCCTTACATATGAAGCAGTTTTACTCATGCGGACTGATATATAAAAGTTTTTTTTTTTTTTTATTCTTTTCACATTTAGATATAAAAATGTAATAAAACGTCAACAATAAAAACAGCTAGCTAGTTTAACTGATTATCTTAAAAGTCCATAGGCTGTTAACACGTTCTCCGACAAGCGGAAGCGATGAGACCTGTTTTCCGGGTTTTGTCAGGTGATGTTCGACATATACCCTATTATGCTGCAGGTTATGTTCTGTGTAATGCATTCGTGCAATACATGTGTTTTCCGGGTTTGGTCAGGTGATGTTCGACATATACCCTATTATGCTGCAGGTTATGTTCTGTGTAATGCATTCGTGCAATACATGTCAGTACATAAATACATTTGTATCTGATTAGTATATGTCATGCATGTTATTGGTAATGTCTGATGTTTATATCGATCAGGTTTTACTGTTTATTTCGGCCGTAATTTGCCAAACTAATCTGCTGAGTCATCACCAGCCACACTAGTGTTACGTGCGAATACAGCGAGAGTGTTTGTTTATATAACTGCTTACAGCACTGTGTTATCTGGTGAACTACTGTATTTTATTTAACTATATTGTTATGGTTGTTATTACGGATTGAAATACAGACTTTATGTCAAGTATATTTTGTATTATGTTGATTAATTTCTTTGAGCGTATTAGTGCAATGAGACACAAATGTTAGATGAATATTTTTGTAAATTATTTCTCTTTATTTCCTTTTGTAGACCATTCCGTACAATATCACATCTGCATACCTCAGATTGAAAATAAGCACCTCATCATCAAGAATCTCTTCTCAGATCCATATTCGGCCACCTGAGCCAGCTGGAATCTTGGTTGCAGTGGGACTTCACTGCAAATGATATTATAATGTTTACAAAATGTCAGGTCAGCCGTTTTGCTAGCTAATGCCGTCCTCAACATGAGGCGAGATTATATAGTCAGAGCATTTGTCGCTGAGAAAAAGACAAATTTTCATTTTATCTTGCATTACAGATTTTATTTTCAGGGTTGCAAGCAACCTAGTAAACGTGGGTGACACTACAACTTATCCTGGAATAAGATTGAATGAAGATAATACACATTTGTTGGGATAAATGGCTAAAATGTGTTCAAAACATTTGACAGCTTATCTTTAAACATCATAGATAATACCATGTACATACATAAACGCCATGTATAGTCAGTAAGTTAATAGTTTCAATAAAATGTATCCAGTTTTGTGTAAAAACATATGGTAGTTTGATAAATACTGATATAAGAAAGATAAGTTAAAAATCATAGGATGCAGTATCTCATGCAGTGTCCTTGGTAGTATAGCACATTTTATCAAATTTAGAATTCTATAGTGAAAATTTGAGTAGTTTGCACATTGCAGAAATAGTGTGAGTATGACAATAGTAGGCTATGTTATTCTGGACACAGATCTGTTCAGTAACTAAGTGTAAAGTTCAACACAAGCTGTTTAAGATAATATATGGATCACAGCCAATTCTGTATCATGTACTTTTACTGCCCTCTTGTGTTCATTATAATATAGTTCTTTACAGAGGAAGCACCTGACAAAATTTTTTTTTTATAATAATTCTGTGCAAGTTTTAACACATTTTAATTTTAATAATGTCACAATATTAATGCCGGACTTAAAAAAAAAAAAAAAAAAGAATGTAATCAATTAGATGTGAAGACTTGCCAAATATTAATAGAACATAGATAATAGTTGGTCTGTTACTCATAGTTAGTTCTGAGGAAAAACTCAGGATCCTTTTGATTTGATATCTTATGTAGTGACATCTAGAGTGCAATAATGGCTAAATGCTGTGATATTTTACTTTAAGGTTGCACTGACTTTATCTTTAGGGATGAATGCTGCAGGTCCAGCCTCTCCTCTGATCTCACTGAACGTTGGTTGTCATGGCAGCTGTGTGCCGGTGGGGGTCAGCGAGGAAACTCATCTCTGTTTGCTGTAGCTCATTGCTCCGCTGTAATATCAGCACCGGAGACACCTGGGCCCGCTGACACAGGACCTCAGAGAGAGCAGTGGACTGGCAACCCCCAGTGATTGCTTTCTCCAGCGTCCGGAACTCCACTCAGTACACACCATTAACCTGTGGCTCACGGAGCAGGACATATTAGTAACCTCACTCATAATAACTTCCTCAAGACGCACACACAATAGACACTGACCTGCAAAGAGTCACTAAACCCCCCAAAAAAAAGGCACCAATCTTTTGCTTTGTCTTGGAGCAACCAAGTGGAACTAATCACCAATGTCACTTTGGTGATAATAAAATAATGGCAAGGCATCAGAGTCCAAATAAATTGCATGTGTTGACAGGTTCCTAAAGTTTTATGATCCATTTTCTTTATAGGTCAAGTCGCCTTTATTTGTATAGCGCTTTATACAATACTGTGTCAAAGCAGCTTTACAGTGTCAAACAGGAAAATAGTTTGTCAATAATGCAAGAGGACGATAACAAAGTGTTATTTTTCAGCTAAAGTCAGTTCATTGATGATTCAGTGATGTCTCTATAAATGGTGTATGTAAACAACAAAATGTATCAATCAGTCACGAAACATAAAAATGAGTTTATGCACATTATGTACAGTACAATACCATACTATCAATCACAAATGCTGCTTACTTTAATGATATGTGTTGATCTGATTGGGTCAGTTTTGAAACCAGATTATGTTAAAAAACAAAATGAAATTATTAAAAGTATTAAGCAGTAATAAATGCACCATTGTACTGTTCATGAGTGTGCTGTTACAGGTTTACTTGCACAGACAAAAATTTCTGTTTGGTCATCTCTAATAAACATCTGTCAGTAGCATACTGTATATGCAAAATACATTTACAGTATGCTCTCACAGACAAGAGGAAATAGAAAAGAAAATACTATCCTTTCCTGGTCTTCAAGTACAAGACAACTGAGGGAAAACACATGAGAGAGGGGAAAAACCTTATATAATGTCATGTCTTACCTGTATTTTGAAGTATCTTCCGAGTGTAAGATTACCCACAGTTGCTTTCATAAAGAGCATTATGTCATGATTAAAAAATATGACAAGTATGCTCATAAAAACACCTCCCATATCATCACATCTCTTTTACAGTAGATATGTTTCGCAACCATAAATGTAAATTCTCCACCCATTTATGAATGAAATTATGCAACACAAGAAAAGTTGGAAAATACTTTGTTGTGCTTATTTCAAGATACTCTGCTAATTGTATGACTATTTATTAATTGTCTACCACCCTGTCAGCTGGTTATCAGTACTGATTATCATATTTTAAGATTTTTGTCTAATGTGAATATGCAGTATATTACAAGCAGTTCCTTGAAAGTGTTTTCTTTCATAGACCGGTCAATTCAAAATCAAAATTCAAAGAAAAAGAAAAAAAAAAACGTTCAAGAGTAATTAAAAGTACAATATTAAATTATTGAGAATCTAATGAGAAATAGTATTGAAAAACAAACAAACATCCACATGAATCGTGAATTTAGAGTATGGGAGACATGTGCTTAATTGTCAGGAAAATAATACAGAAACACAAATCTTAATGATCCTAATTTTCTGATCAGTACTAATACTCAAAAAATACAAAACAATACAATACATAAAATAGGAAGTGAATAAGGTGCTAAAACAGAAATACAGGAACTGAAAACATCCAAATGAAAATAAAATACGGGGTATAAAATTAAACAGACCATGAATGAAGATTGGAAAATATGAATATAAAACTAAAGTCTTAGTGTAATAAGGTCAGCAGAGACCTTATTGATGATTCATAATGAGACATGCAGTCTGTGCGATTTAAATATGTGCAATTAACATTTGGCCTGTCGTGATCAGTTATGAGACACCAGTGACATTTGGCATCGTTAATATCAAAATGAGCATGTCACTGGTGTGAATATATTAAAACATGAAAAAGATGATGATTTAAAAGCTTATTTTTCTCACACAAAGATAGCATAAGGCTTCAGAAGACATGGATTATCACACCTATCACTTGTATGGACTACTTTTATGCTGTTTTGACCGACTCTGGTGAACATTCACTTTTAATATATGCGAAAAAAGTAGCTTGAACATTTTGTTAAATTTTTCCTTGTGGATTCCGTAAAGAGAAAAAGTATACTGCTTTAAAACAACATAAGAATGGGTAGTTGAGGAACTGAGGAATGAATTAAATTAAATATTATTTTTTGAAATGTATGTTATTTTGTGAATACAGTGAATACAGGTCTGTCAGTGCTAAACCTACATTTCATTTTTCATTTTTTTATTTTTTTATTTTTATATATAAATGTTTTGACATTTGTTATTTTGTGAATACAGTGACTATATATGGTATATTCCTTAATATAAATGTAATTAAAATCTTAATGGCTTCATTTTATCAATACAAATTGGTGTTTTCTTTCTTTTGAATATATGGTGAATTATGAACCAGGCATTTCTGGTTTAAGGTTATTTAGACAGGTTCAAGGTTATTTTGTTTGCATTCATCTGGACATGGAAGAGGTATATATAAAAAAAAAAAAAAAGAAATGAGTGGCAATTCTTTGTAAGCACATTGGTTTTTCATCGTTTGGTGCTAAGAAAATGAAGAATACACCTCATAATATTATATTCATATGGTATATTAATTTTTCTCTTTTGGTGGCATTTCGTCACCCAGCATCAGACATTTCAGATAGTTTCTAACGACCAACTTATTCAATGTTTTTTTTTTTTAAGATACAGCATGATCACCAAGGTCTTGGCCTTGCTGTGAAGACCTCACTTCTCTCTCTCTCTCTCTCTCTCTCTCTCTCTCTGCCGGGGGAGGAACAGGTCGAGTCACCTGAAGCAGGAAGTTGAGGAATAAAGGTGTCATTAAAACACAAGATCAGCGCTTTCTAGCGCACACATACGCGCGTTATACATCACCGGACTGATCACTGGGAGAATATGGTAGGTTAGATTTAATTATGTTTTATAAACGTTTACATAATAAACGTGTATTGCGTAACAGCTGAGGCAGGCATTCACACTAGTAGTTTAAATTAAAGTAACGCTTTGTCCTTCTTACTTTAAAACTACAAACAGTTTAGAAGTTCCTTTAGTATTTTACCCAGGGTCCGAAGGGCTGAAGCGCAGTTTAGTTGAATGCCCCCTCGAGCTTGAAACGTAGACAGCGGCGAAGTTGAGAAGGAGAACGTTGTCAGTTGTATCGTAGCGTCATTGGCAGTATATTAGAGTTTAGTCGTGTATGTTTGTATTATAGCCCTGTGTCTGTAGGAGTTTTACACTGTATATGGTCTCTTATGTAATCGATGAATCAGAAACTCTTCATGGAAAGTGTTGTAGAAGTAGGGGAAGATATGTCATTTATTAATAATAGAATTTAACAGATGACGCCTGGAATGTACGATTTTAATAAGCAGATGCTCACTGCTTTGTGTGTAAAAAAGTTCACTGCATTAAATATCTACAATGTTAATACTGCAGCAATTAGTAAAAGCAAAGAGGAAAACTACACCTGATATAAATCTCTATAAATGTATTTTGTTTATCATATGCATTTGGAGTGCATGAGTACATAATGTTACCATTATCCAAAGATGATGCCTGAGCCCCTTGGACAGTCTGGAAACAGATTTAAAGCAATTTCCCACATTTATTAGTAAAATAGCAAGTCACTACTGGGTTGATCTCCATGTATATTGCATGCACTAAACCATTTTCACTGGCCTAGAAATAGTCCTCTACCCTCAGATAAATAATTCTGTCAAAATTCTGATAATATTGCAAATAAATATCAAAGTCAACTCAGAAACAACACGAAAACATGTAACCTTTGAAGGATAGATTACGCTTTTAAAACTGTTGTACTTTATATTTACTTTATTCTAATATGTATTTTAAATTACAAGACTAAAATTTTAAATACGTTTTTTTTTTTTTTTTTTGGCAATATCCATGCATGAAATTGTTTATTATTTTTGGGAGGTTGATGGAGGATTAAATTGTACTTATACATAAATGATATGGTCACTGTAATTGTGTTGTTCATTAAGTTATTACTGATCTTACATTTATTACATTCATTACAATTATACATGCTCCCCCTATTTAGTCTGTTTTAATGGTGGGTAATATTCCTGATCACATTTTTAGTCATTTTCTCAAATTATATGGAAACTTTTCCTAGCAAAACTTGGATTTTAATAACCCTAGTCAAAATTCCTATAGGAATGTGTACAGGATTCCTAATATAATTTAGAAACAATCCTGAAGGACCCTATAATCATTCAAGAGTTTACTGGATTTTTATTCTGATTTGATAGTATATGAAATTTCACTTGGGTGGGGGGAAGTGGCAGTATCAAGACAAAGTGATGTTTGCAAGTTGTAATGCATTCTTTACAACTGGTTCCCAATTACAATAGAAATTCCATACTAAAAATATATAAATTGATTGCTCAAAAGAAAGAATGAATGAGTGGATGAATGAATTTATGAAGATCAAATCATGTAAAGCATAAAATATGTGCATGTATAAAGAAACAACCTTATAACAAAAAATGACCTTGTTCTACTTCTTACATTTTATATTTATTCAAATTTATGTAAATATAAAGTTGAATTGCAATTTATAACTTGCATTGTAATGACTTGTTTTTTTTCCCATTTATTTGTTTATGTTTCAGCCTTATTCAGAAGCAAGAGCAACATGTCAGAGCAGCATATGGATGACACAGCAGCTCTTACACTGAAAAACCTCCAACATACGACGGGATGCAGTCGAGGTGTTACCATAAATCCGCTGGCCTGGGCCAAGACAGACCTGACCTCCATGACCTGCAGATGAAGGTCGACTTCTTTCGTAAGCTGGGTTACTCTCCGCAAGAGGTGAAGGCCGCCCTGAGGAAGCTCGGCCTGGGGACGGACACCAACGCGGTGCTGGGGGAGCTGGTGCGTTCAGGGGCCAAGGCCATGCCCTCCTCTAGCTCAGACAGTGATGATGGTGGGTTCAGTTTGCCCCATCGGGGTGGAAGCTCATCTAGGGGACAGGACTCAACGCTGGAGGACACCTCTGAACCCGAAAGTGACCTGAAACCTATTGTTATTGATGGCAGCAACGTGGCCATGAGGTGAGGACATGGTACTACTGGCCTTTTTTCTTCTAGAATTGTTCAGTAGTCTTTCAATCGAAACAGAATTGAAATTGAATTGGAGATTGAAAACTAAGCAGAGTTTTGAGTCTTTGCCAGTTTAACTAGTATCAACAAGTTGACATTACAAAGGGAAATTCATGACAGCTGCACTCTGGTAGTGAATAAACTTTTCCCAAATTTTACAAGGCTTTCACTTTGATTCCACTTGTTTTTAATGTTGGTTCACCTCAGATTGTTGTAACAGTAGGAACATTTTTTTTTTTTTTAAGTATTTATAAAAATGTGAATATCACATCCAAATAATGCCACAAATACAGACTTGTTGATATTTCTTTATTTGGAAGAAACATCAATTGTTTAATAATTAATTTCAAAAATAGTAACTAGTGTGTTCAATGTAATTTTACTTACCACTTCCCATAGTGAATTGCTCATATTGCCTTTGGGCTTTAAACTTAGACCTGGTTCTTCTGAAAAGGTTTGTACTTCCTCTTTATCCATGCTTCTCTGTTCTCCAATATGCAAATAATATGCACTTTTTTTTAACCATTTCGCTTCCAGGAGGCCAAGGCCTCATGCTCAACACACTCAGCAACATTTTTGGACATGCATTCTGCAAAGGTTGCACTAGGGAATTTTGTGAAAGACATTCTTCCTTGAAATGAAGGGTTTATAAGTAGTCTAGGAGAGGTGGTAAATTACAAGACTTTATGCACATTCTGTGTGAAAGACTATTAATGCATTGATATTTGCGGTAACATCATGACGTAATGGAAATGGCTGTTGTTCTTTCATGTGTTTTGTTGTTTTGGTTTTAGGACAACTTTGATGAAAGGTTTTGATCCACTTCAAATGTTGACTACTATATACTGTATATTAATAATAGATTATTCATTTAAATACTTATAAGTCATCTTGAGGCCCCCTAGTGGGCCCCGGACCCCTGGCTGCTTTAAACTATTAAAACAGTCTTGTGAAAGACTATTAATGCATTGATATTTGCGGTAACATCATGACGTAATGGAAATGGCTGTTGTTCTTTCGTGTGTTTTGTTGGATGTAGCTTCCCAGTCAAAACAAACATTTCTGTCATAATTTCTGTCCGTCTTATCTCTTGGTTTTTCTTTATCAGTAGTACTATAAACATATCTGACACGCATCTGTCAACAACTACAGTTTGCGTTCCAGTTGTTGTACTGTTGTAGTATTCCATAATAAGTTTGTGCAACTCGGGTTGTGTTTTAGCTTGCCTTCTAGTTGCATTATTGCTATAAGTAATTCCAACATCCACAGCTGAAATAATTTGTGATGGATCAAACTGTTTAGTTTTAGGTTCCTATATATATATATATATATACAGTAGTCAACATTTGAAGTGAATCATAAAAGTTCATCAAAGTTGTCCTTAGACGGCTGTGAAAATAAATCTGCATTGTTTATCCTTTTGATCTTTCATTAAAAAAAAATTCACAAAATTCAAACCTATCATTGAAGTAAAACAATTTAAAAATTGGGGAAAACTCACATTGTGAAATAAATGTTTTTTCTTCAATGCATGTTGGCCACAATTATTGGCACCCCTAGAAATTCTGAGTAAAATGTTTCTGAAGTATACTCCCATTCATATTTACCTTTTTTTAGCACACCAGTGTTACAATTGCCCAGCCATGACTTCCTGTTCCACAGGATTATAAATATGAGCAACACAAAGGCCAAATTCCCTTAATCATCCATCACAAAGAGAAAAACCAAAGAATATAGTTCTGATAAAAAAAAGCTTTTTGGCAGCAAACCCACCAGATGGGTTTGGTGCAAACAGGGATAAAAAGTAGCCCATGCCCACAGTTAAATATTCTGCTGGATCTTTAATGTTGTGGGCCTATTTTTCTGCCGGAGGTCCTGGACATCTTGTTCAGATATTGGCATCATGGATTCTTTCAAATACCAACAGATAAATCTAAACCTGACTGCCTCTATTAGAAATCTTATAATGGGCCGTGGTTGGATTTTCCATCAGGACAGTGATCCAAAGCAAACATCAAAATCAACACAAAAATGTGTCACTGAGCACAAAATGAAGCTTCTGCCGTGGCCGTCCCAGTTCCCTGACCTGAACCTTATAGAAAATGAGTGGTGTGAACTGAAGAGAGGAAGCACCAACATGGAGGTGTGAATCTGAAGGATCTGGAGTGATTCTGGATGAAAGAATGTTCTCTGATCTCTTGTCTGGTGTTCACCAAACTCATCAGGCATTATAGGAGAAAACTCAGAGCTGTTATCTTGGGAAAAGGACGTTGCAATAATTGGGTGCCAATAATTGTGGCCAATGTGGACTAGAGAAAAACATTTATTTCATTATAAGATTTCCCCCCCTTACTTGTTTTAATATGAGAATTTTGTGAATTTTTTGAATGAAAGATCAAAAGGATAAACGATGCAGATTTATTTTCACAGCCACCTTTGCTCATATTTACCAATGGTGCCAATATTAGTGGAGGGCACTGTATCTGAGCAATTCATGTGGTTTACTACAGGCAACACACATCGCCAAACCACACAGAATTATTAAAGAGCCGTTTACACAGGACTTGTAAGGAGACTTAAAAAATGTATTTGACGTGGCATTAAAAAAAAACATAACATTCATGGTGTGAGACCTAACCACCAAAGACCTCTAACATGTACAGACCAGTGGTTTTTGGCATGCATATTCACTGATTTACTCATTTGCCAATTTAATTTCTCTCTCTTTTTTACTGTCTCTCTCGTTCTCTTTTAGTCATGGGAACAAGGAAGTGTTTTCCTGCCGTGGGATTGAGCTGGCAGTTAATTACTTCCTTGACCGAGGACACAGAAATATCACTGTGTTTGTGCCTTCCTGGAGAAAAGAGCAGCCCAGACCTGATGTACCTATTTCAGGTAGAGAGACTCCCTCAGCACTTTTGGTAAAAATTGAGTCATCACAGACCGATTTGTCTGAAAAGCGAAAACGCCCATCTGACTGCACAGACTCAAATATGCCTATACTTCACACTGCAAAAAAAAAATATTTTCTTCAGCAGTATTTTTGTCAGGTTTTTCAGTAAACATACACTACCATTCAAGAGTTTGGTGTCAGTAAGATTTTTTTTTTAATCCAGCTTTGATCACAGCAATAAATTACAGTTTAAAATATATTCACATAGAAAACAGTTATTTTAAATTGTAATATATTCACAATATCACTGTTTTTACTGTACTTTTGATCAAATAATTGCAACCTTGGTGAACATAAGAGACGTCTTTCAAAAACATTAAAATATTACTGACATCAATACATTGTTGTAAAGTTGAAGCTTTTGAATCTGTTGTGCATTAATAAACAATGTGGTGTTTTCACATTGCAAAAATTAACATGTCTTCTCATCTGTTTATAACTTCAACTATAGCGTCATTTTGTAAAATGTTGCTGTTCATTAGTTTATTGTTGCAAAACAGTCCCTGTGTACATCTGGTACTGGTACAGCATACTAGTGCAAAATGGCCTTTGTATTAGGACTTCAGGTTTATCAGGCCAGAGGTGTTGATGTGGAGATAATAATCTCACTTGTTTATGTCCCTGGACTGTCTCTCTTTTGTTGTGAAAGCCCCTGCTCAGATTCCTCAAATCAATTTGAGCAAGAACAGTAATAACAAAACAAGAAGAATAAGGAAGAGTTAAGTTTCCTGTAGGTCTCAATGGGAATTCCCCACCAGGAAGTTCAAGAGATTTCCTTATCACCTTGAGTTTCACTGTGAATCTTTAATCGAGTCTGGTGCTGTGTGGTGAATTATTGCCTCTTTCCTGTTTCATAGATGATGGCCTGTGTTCTTGGGAATCTTTCAGTTTACCACCTCCCCAAAGTAGCCTTTGATATGGATACCTTTGGTGGATATTAAATGCTAATTTGGGGGAATAACCATTTGTTTTTAATCTGTAATGTAGAAAACTGGTCAAGCAAGGGTAATTGCATCAAAAATTAGTTACAGCTTAAAGGAGTTGTCTATAATAATTGTCAAATTGTTTCAAATTGATGGGAGTTATGGTCCAGTTATTCTATCAGCGACTGGCAAATAATGTCCCATGACTATAAGAAAGACAGCCTTCATTCCAAAGTCATGCTAAAAATTGTCTACAAAAGTAATGAAAAATTTAAAAAGTGTTTGTCTTTATTTCCAGATCAGCATATTTTGGAAGAGCTGGAAAGGAAGAAGATTCTTGTATTTACACCTTCACGAAGGGTCGGAGGAAAGCGTGTGGTCTGCTATGACGATCGGTTTATTGTCAAATTAGCTCACGATCTGGATGGCATTATAGTGTCGAACGACACATATCGTGACCTGCAAAGTGAACGTCCAGAGTGGAAACGTTGCATTGAGGAGAGATTGCTTATGTACTCCTTTGTTAATGACAAGTATGTTCTTACAAATATTCTTCAATAGCTGCTGATGCTTTTGGCATTACCTCATCTTATTCCTATTCATTTATCTAACCATCATCATTGACCACAGGTTTATGCCACCTGATGACCCTCTCGGTCGTCATGGACCCAATTTAGATAATTTTCTTCGGAAAAAGGTGATGTTGCTTGACCACAAGCGACAACTCTGTCCATATGGTAAGTAGTTATCAGGTTCTGTCATTCAGAATCATATATGCCATATTAACCACAAACTACTAATTGAAATACATTTCTAGGGTGGTTAATTTTATGTGTTAGTTCAGTGCAACTTATTATAAAAATATAGCCCAATAAAAAATGGACATCATTAATCATGCCCAATGACTCATCCCATATTTCGTAATAATGGATTTTCCTACCATCAAAGACATTCAAGCTGGATTTAACACCCTGTAGGCCAGTGATAAGCTCAAGCTCAATTATAAGAAAACAAAGCAAAATGGTATACTGACTTCTCAAACAATTGTAAAGTCTGATTTCAACTGCAATGTCTTTGAATTTTCTTCAGTTGGCTGGCTTTTCTTAGCAAACACTGATATATGTGATTTGATGTAAATTGATTAAAGTTCCCATATTATGCTAATTTACAATTTCATAATTTTATTTTTGGGGTCTGCTAGAATACATTTACATGATTTAAAGTTCAAAAAGCACATTATTTAACTAATACTGCTCATTGCTGCAGCAACTCTTTTCTGCCTGAAACACTCACTGAAACTCACTGTCCTGTCTCTTTAAAGCCCACCTTTCTGAAAGGTCCAATCTGCTCTGATTGGTCAGCCACTTAAAGTGTGTATCAAAAATGTAACGCCCCTTACCATAACTGGGTTTCAGCTTCAGAGGCTTCATGGGCAGCTGTAAACAGAACGATGACTATGGTAACAGTTGTGTTGGTATTGGAAGTCCATACAATGTCCAAACAGCATCTATTTGACATTGTAAAATCACCTATACAACTGTTCCTTGAGATTAGGCCAGAGTAGCCAGTAAGCGGGCATTATGCTAATGTGTAACATAGTGATGGATATAATAGCATGACTACAAACAAGACGTTTCAGGCAAGTGTTTTTTTTGCTGGAGAGATTAAATCCTATTGGTGTCAAGTTTGTTATTTGTACCTTTGCAGACTGTTTACATCTGGGGTGTCTGCTCCTGCTCCTTGAGGGCCAACGTTCTGCAGAGTTTAGCTTAAACCAGCTCCAACACACTTAGGGTTAATTTCTAGTGAAGTTTCTAGTGAGTCTGAAGACCTTGATTAGCTTTAGGTGTGTTTAATTAGGGTTGAAGTTAAACTCTGCAGGACAGTGGCCCTCCCCAGGAACAGGTTTGGATACTTCTGGTTTACATGCAAAAAAAGCTATAACACACTAAAGGTGAAATCAAAAAGCATAATAGGAGCCCCTTAAATAAATCTGCATTTCCTGTAATTCATTCATTCATATATTTTTAATCGTTTGATAGCCCTAATATTTGACCTAACTCTATATCAGAGGTTTTCAGTCCTGCTCATGGAGACCCATTGTTCTACAGAGTTTAGCTCCAAACCTAAACAAACACACCTGAATCGAGGTCTTCAGGATTACTTGAAAATCACAGGCAGGTGTGTTGGAGCACGTTGGAAATAAACTTTGCATGGGAGTGGGTCTCCATGAGCAGGATTCCCTCTGTCGACATACAAGGTGCATGAACAGAAAGAAGTACAGGTGCATCTCAATAAATTAGAATGTCGCCAAAGACTTAAACTACTTCAGTCTGTGTGCATTGAATTTATTTAATACACGAGTTTCACAATTTGAGTTGAATTACTGAAATAAATGAACTTTTCCATGACATTCTAATTTATTGCGATGCACCTGTAGACCAGGGGTGGCCAACCTTGAACCTGGAGAGCCACAGTCCTGCAGAGTTCAGCTCCAACCATAATCAAACACACCTAAACAAGCTAATCAAGGTCTAAGGGTTAGTAGAACGCTACAGGCAGGTGAGGTTTTATCAAGGTTGGAGCAAAACTCTGCAGGACTGTGTCTCTCCAGAACTGACGTTGGCCACCTCTGAAGTACACCAAGGATGGGCAAATCTGGTCTTGGAGGGCTACTGTCCTGCAGAGTTTACTTCCATCCCTAATCAAACACACCTGAAAAATCTAACCTATGTCTCCATGGTTGCTAGAACAGAATGGAAATAAACTCAGGACAGCAACCCTCCAGGACTTATGTTGCACATTCCTGAAGTAGACCTTATAACACATTTGTCGTTTTACTCTTCAGGAAAAAAATGCACATATGGGATCAAGTGTAAGTTCTACCACCCAGAGCGCACAAACCAGTCACAGCGTTCTCTAGCCGATGAGCTTCGAGAGAATGCCAGACGGTCTGGTTCAAAAGAGGACAGCAGAGTAACTGGGCCACTAAGAGGCATGTACCCAAGAAATGACCCTGGTTTTGGGTCCTGCTCACCCTCTTTGGAGCAAGAACTGGAACAAAAGCTCAACTTGGATCCCAAGAGCTCTGACGGCGGGGATGTTATGCTCCAGTACTGGGATGACATTTTGTCCACAAAAAAGCCCTTATATACAGCCACAGTGGGACAACGCAGTGCTTCGGCAGACAGAACCAGTCTGCTAGCACCTTACCCAACAAACCCTTCGTCCATTTTCAGTTCTGACTCAGGGCTTGGATCCTACCAAAGCCAGTTTTCAGATCCATCGCAGAGCATTGAGTTGCATAGGATGAGATCCAATCATTCACCAATGTCTGGTAACCCTGGTGTACCTGCAGGTGGCCAATGCTACTATGACAACATGAGTCCTTTCTCCAACCATCAGCCCAAATTTGGTGCCTGCAGCTCCCTACCTCTGCCTAACCCTGTCCAGCATTACAGTCTTCCTGCTTACGGTGCCTGGTCTTACCCTTTCTTCTTAACACAGGCAACCAGTTTACCTGAACCTATACCCTGTCCTAGCTCGCATATGTCTCCCGGTGTCTATGGAAGCCAGAAGCACTCAGGCATGCCACAGTCCAATGCTTTCCAGGAAGAAAGAGAGGAGGTCAGGAAGAAGCTTCATGCGATTTTTAACCCGCATCATGTAAACAAAGTCATGGAAATGTTCCCGCAGCTGAAAGATGCGCAGCAGTTGGCGGCAGAGGTTCTCAAACTCAAGTCCAGGGGAGAGTTCTTCTGATTCACTGAAACTTTGGGATCATAAAAAAAAAGACGGCATGCCAAGTTTCTCGAAAGAAAGAGTCTCTACATTCTCAGAAAAAATGTGCAAAAATTGTACCTTTTTAGGGGTACTTTTTTACCCTTAACAAGTTTGTAGTAGTGCTTGGTAGTAAAGGTACCTATTACTACTCTAAGGTATTAGTATACACCTTTTAGGGGGAGATAAGATACAAACTTGTCAATTTAGTGGTATAACAGCTTGTCATTGGGGCACTCCCCAAACTTTGGTGTTGTACCTCTAAAGGTAAAATTTTTGCAATTGTACCTTTATTTCTGTAGCTTTGGTAGCTCTTTTCTGTGTTTTGTGCTCCTTTAAAGTCTCAGAAACCTTAATGACTTATCACATAGTACGTGTGGTAACTCTGTATGACTACAAAGTCAAATTTGTGTCTAGATGTTTTTAAGAGGTTGATGCACATTGCATCAATTGTTGCTCCTAACGTGTAGCAAACTGTACAGTACCTTGGCTCGAAGGCTACAGATTTGGTTTTGGACAGAACCTGAAATGTAATTTGAGCAGTCTAAATATAGTTGTATGTAATTGCAGTCATTAAGGAACCGCCCTGTTTTCAATGTTCAGAGTAATTTTGTAGTTAGTAAGTCTGCTGCTAATTGTTCATTCAAAGCAGCTCCACCACAGAATCACTTAAAATAGTAGTAGGTGTGATTCCTTGTCTCCTGCACTCTTTTCATTGTATTTCTTTGTTTCGGGTATTAGGGGTGGGAATCCTCTGATAGATTTTCATTACAATACTTAAGTCAAACACTGTGATTTGACTCTGTGACGCATTGCATTTTGTTGAAACTTACCAAAGTGCTGGACATCATATTTAATTGTGCTTCAATGTTACGTTTCATATCAGGTTGGTTCTACTATGTAACTCTGAGCTTGTGGATTTTGATGATTTGAATGTACAAAGGACATCTCACATCTTTCCTTCTATGCAAAATTGACTTTCATCATCTCATTGTTCAAACATCCGCTCTCAAACAACAGAAGAGCGAATTATTTGCACTAATTAGTCATGATTTTACATTTATGCATGTCAATATGTCAAAGGCTTGACATAACGATGTATATTATACAATGAATAATTATACAAAATATTGAGGCTTTAGATGTGTCAATTCATGGAGACAATAATGATGAAAGTTATTATAATATATTATGCTGATGTTTTATCCACTGTTTTCAAATGAGCATATAGGCATTTGTGTAATCATAACACATTTATGTCTTCTAACATCTATATGAATGTGAACAAATTCAAAGACACTATCAGTGAGTACGAGTTTGTACAATTTCATGTTTTCTCTTCAGAGGAGACAGTTATAGCTGATTTTTAATTATAGCATCTGTTTGCAAAGATGTTCCATAGACATTATCTTTTGCGCTCTTGTTCTTGTTCTGTTAATTTTTCAGTTCTAAAAATTTCATAAAAGTCAACGATAACAGTCAAAGCCTTTATATATAATGCATTAAAGGTATTCATAATGTAAGTTGTAATGCGTTATATTTTTCAGAATTAATTGTAACCAAGTTTAAAATGCATTATATAGTTTGTCATGTGTTTTAATGCATTATACTTTCTAAAGGTGTAACAATGAATCGTTAAGTATCATAATGTATTATAACTATGGTTACAATTATTCATTTGAACATACAATGCAATTTTAATGCATTATATGTAAAGACTTTAAATAAAATGTTTCTAAATCAACTGCTTTAACATAGATTGTCATGTGTAGTTCATGGTGTCCAAGTAGCAACTTGCAACATGTTTATATCCTGCCAGTGCATTATAATCATTAATGTGAACAGGAAACAAGTTCTCAGTTTTGTATTGGCAAATGCAATAAAAAACAAAAATTATCTTCTTGCTTCTTGTCCCTTAAACAGTAATGAAAATAAGTCATAAAAAAGTCCTCTCACTACCCTCACTAATTAATGCCATGATTAAAGGTAAAATATTTAATAAAATTTAAAATGACAATAATAGGAGAACCACAGTAAGTAGTAACAAAAAAAATTCTAAAACTTTTTTTTAAGCTGTGAAAAAAAAAAACATTGTAATAAATAGTATGTTAATATACAAAGACATTTCCCATGCAACCAGTGGTACCATAATTAGTAAATGACAAACACAATCTTCATGAACTTTTTTATAAACATCAGTATAAGGGAATATACACATTTCTTATGTGTTCACTTAATTGGTTTCACTATAACATGTATAATTTAAATAATCCTGCATCCAAGTTTTGCAATCATGCAATCCAAGTTTTAAAATATGCAAATACTGTATAGTCTCTCAATTAATATGAGCTGTAAAAATACTGCATGCATCATAATTATTAAAAAAGGGGGAAAAACAGTACAATGTTTTAACAGTTTTAGATGGAGATTAACCAGTAATACCACATACATGAGAAACCTGCTGTTGTCACAAAATAAAATATTTCTGTGAAATAGTTTCTGTTTTGATTTTAATTGTGACTGATGGAACTGTTTTATAACTGGCATCTGAAGTATGTACTGAAACTACAATCCATTTAATCCATAACTTAAACACACCTTTAAATTTAACACGTTTTGTGCTATTTGTTACTTTATTAAATTGTATTATTATAACTACTGATTTCAAATAACTGTTTATCTATGTCTGATGGTAATGATGACCTACCTGAATATATTGCATGTGGGTAAATGTGTTTGCTAAAGTTATTTTTGCCGTTTGCAATGGAACTCTGTTATATAAATATAACTGTTGTGACATGAACAATTTTATATATGACTTATGTATATTATTTACAAAAGGATGTCGAGTATGACAGTTTATTTGATTTGAATTGTAAATCTGGGGAGATCTCTGCCATGTGTATGTCAACATTCAATGTCAAATTATGTATAAATTTCTCTCTCTCTCTCACTCTCTGTGTGTGTGTGTGTGTGTGTGTGTGTGTGTGTGTGTGTGTGTGTGTGTGTGTGTGTGTGTGTGTGTGTGTGTGTGTGTGTGTGTGTGTGTGTGTGTGTGTCTTTCCCTCCCCTTTTGACGATATATTTATCTATCTACATCTACAAGGAAGAAGGAAGTTCACAAGCTCCAAAAAGTGTTATGAAAATGCAAAGCAGCTCCATGTAAATCACATGATCATTGTTTATTTTCATATCGTAATCCATAGGAATGTGATTTGCTTTCTTGTAAGAGGAAGTTCAGTGACAAAAAAATATCCAAAAAAAGGCAAAAAAAAAACAAACCAAACACTTTTGCATAAGACGTTGTGTGTGTGTGTGTGTGTCTTTCCCTCCCCTTTTGACGATATATTTATCTATCTACATCTACAAGGAAGAAGGAAGTTCACAAGCTCCAAAAAGTGTTATGAAAATGCAAAGCAGCTCCATGTAAATCACATGATCATTGTTTATTTTCATATCGTAATCCATAGGAATGTGATTTGCTTTCTCAGTTCAGTGACAAAAAAATATCCAAAAAAAGGCAAAAAAAAACCAAACCAAACACTTTTGCATAAGACGTGTAACATTGTTACATCTTAACAAACATTTGAGTAATCTGTGAGTAAACATGTTTGATACAAAAAATCATCTTGATTTCCATGAATGAGGTGTACCAGTGTCAAGAGTTCAGTCTCTTTCTTGAAACATCAGAACACATCCTTCAGTATACAGGGAAAATCTTTTGATATCTACAAAGAACAATGCAGCAGAGGTGACTGGTTTTGACCTCATATGGCTGTTTAAATGTCAGCTCTATCCATGTTCAATAGGGTGTATCCTACATTTGCATTAACGGATATTGGCAATAAGTAGACCTGCATGGAATGTGTGTCAACAGAATTCCACAGAATTTGAACATCACTCTCTTAAACATAACTATTCCTTGTATGGAAATGTTTTGGCTAACTTGATCTGTTTAAGCTACCAATATGAGCTCTGCTGATATTCCAGTATGTGTTTTAAATACAGAATTTCCTCACAATCATAAATATGAAAAAGTGCAGATTCTAACACAATCTCATGGCAATTTGTAACTATATTTACATTTACATCTACATAAATGCTGAATTGGTGGCTAATTTGTATACTTTTTCGTACAATCTACTTACACCCCATTGAAGTTAGGTATAAGGGTGTACCTTAATGCTTATTTTCTAAAAATCATATGTTTTTATACAAATCACATTGTACAAATTTATACGAAATCACCACCTTGTAAAATGCTTATGTTTTCTCATTCGATGGGGTTGGCAGATTACAGGTAACAGGTCAAAGAAACCCACATAAAGCATCAAAACGGAGAGAGAACATCCAAAATCATATACTTTCCCAAAAGTTTTGCAAACACTTTGTCCTATCGCAGCTTAATGAGCAGAGACACCAAGCAGCTAATACAGTCATAGATTGATGCCACTTTTAAAACAAACCATGTGCATCCAATGGCACAGTTTTGGGGTGATATACATTTTTGGGTGAAAACAGTCATCAGTCAATGTTCTCTCATGTTGTGTATGAGGAAACTCCTGTTTACACTGATACTGAAGTCTGATTTGTTCACGTTTGAGTAGCTGCACAAACCAATGGCGCTCTAGCCCGCCAGAATGGGCGGAGCCGACCTCTATATAAGTCGGCTCAGAGCGTCATTTCATCAGAATATTCTTCTTCAGCGACGAGGATCATCTCTTCGCTGGCGCTGGACTACGAAGCCGAAGAATAAGGAAGAAGCTCAGCCTGCAGCTCGCCGCCGTTGAAGAGCCCCGGCAGAGGAAGAAGCCAGAAGCCTTCCCCTGCGGCTGTGCGGTGCACTAAGAGAGCAAATTTCTGAGCAAATTTCCTAGCAATGTTGTTTCAAATGTCACGCCGCGAGTGGGGCTCATGCAGGGCTTCAGAAGGACGCAGTGAGTGCATCGCCCGGTCTGGGCAGCACCCATGCAGAGACTGCGCGCTTACTGAGACGGAATGCGCTCACTGAGAGCATGAGTCTCGCTCTTCTCCACTCGTGAATTGCCTTCAATGAAGGCAGCCCCGCCCTCGTTTCTCCTCTCTCAGCGAGCTCGGAGAAAGAAACGGTGAGTCGCGGAGCTGAACAACCGGGTTGTGTGATCTCACTCTCCCCCACCACTTTGATCCGCCGGTGTATTTTACACGTAAGGATCAGTGTCTCTCATTACATCAAGCGGCTCGATCCTTCTAGGTGGATTGGAGTAGAATGCTGTCACCAATGATTCTGTATTGCTGACAGCTTCATATTTGTGTGTGCACCGCTGAGGCTGCGCTCGCTGAGACAGGCTGCTTTCACTGCGAAAGCATGAGTCTGTCCCCACTTCGCTCGCAGATCGCTTTCTTCAATGAAGGCGACCCCACCCCTACCATTTTTCCCCTCTCAGCTGCCTCGGAAGAAGAAACGGCGAACTCACGGGTTTAGCGACCAGGATTGAGTGATTCACGCCGGCACAGATCCTGCGTGCTTCATTCTCCACGCAGCTCTTTGATCTGCTGATGTGTTTTACACGTAAAGATTAGCACCCCTCGTTCGATCTTTTTCGAATGCTGTCACCAATGATTCTATATCACTGACAGCTTCAGTTTTGAGTGCGCTGCTCGCCTGGGCCACACCCACGCTGGGGCTGCGCTTACTGAGACAGATCACTCTCACAATGAGTGCGTGCATCTCGCTCTGCTTCGCTCACGGTTAGCCTTTTTCAATAAAGCCGGCCCGCCCCTCCCGTACTCACGTTCTCCCTTCCCAGTTGCCTTGGAGGATGAAACTGTGAAGTTGCGGGGCTGAGAAATAAGGCTGGAGTGATTTCACGCTGGCATAGATCCCGCGTGCTTCACTCTTCCTACAACACACTGATCCGCCAGTGTGTTTTACACGTGAGGATTAGCGCCCCTCGTCTGCGTCGAGCAGTTTTATCCTTTTAGGTGGATTTAAAGATGCGCGCAGCCTAAACTGGGCCATGCCCACACCAAGGCTGCGCTCACAGGGGCTGACTGCTCTCATTAAGAGAACATTAACCTAGCGAAGCACTTTTGAGAGGAAAAGGAAGAATCAGTTCTTGCTGAGGCTGGAACCCCCTCTAAGAAAGCTTGTGCTCACTGTCCATCCCTCCGTTCAACACTGAGTGATGGAAGTTTTATTCAAGCTGGGCACGTCCTTCAAGTTCAGTGCACGCCCAAGCAAACTACCGCTGATAGCGGACGCATACAAAAGGGCATTTTTCCTCTCCTCACACACACGGATACAAGTTCCCCGCTCCTCGTACGGCGAACTTCTATTCGTAAAATTAGAACCTCTTGCCACCCGGTTCAAGGCTTGGGCAGCCATTCCCGGTGTTTCAAGGTGGGTTCTAAATAAGATAAAACAAGTTTACTCGCTCCAGTTTGCTCGCAGGCCACCTCGTTTCAGAGATATTATTCACACTTCGGTACGGGACAATGAAGCTCATGTTCTTCAGTCCGAAGTACAAACATTGCTTGCAAAAGGTGCCGTGGAAGTGTTACCTCTAGCGAACAGCAAGTTAGGCTTTTCAGCCGCTACTTCCTCGTGCCGAAGAAGGATGGCAGGCACAGCTCTATTCTAGATCTCAGACTTCTGAATCGCTCTCTTATCAGACGGCCATTCAGGATGTTAACTTTGAAACAGATCCTCGCGCAGGTTTGTCCCGAGGACTGGTTTCTGACAGTGGATCTGAAAGATGCATACTTTCACATCCACATAACCCCCCGCCACAGAACGTTCTTGAGATTCGAGGCAGTGGCCTATCAGTACAAAGTCCTATTGGACTGTCTCTGACCTTCGCAATTTTACGAAGTGCATCGACTCGGCTCTTTCCCCTCTGAAACAGATGGGAATCCACATCCTCAATTACCTCGATGACTGGCTGGTTTTAGCCAGATCAGAACAGGAGCTAATCGCACACAGATCGCTGCTGATCAGCCATCTGGTGTGCCTCGGGTTGAAAATCAAACCGCACAAGAGTCAATTGTCTCCCAGACAACGAGCAGTCTTTCTGGGGACTGTTATAGACTCGGCCCGGGTGTGGACATGGCTTACACTGGAACGGTCCCTGACTAGGTTCAGTGACTGGTGGCATCTTTCAAGCTAGGGACTTCGGGTCCCCTCAGGAGTTTCCAGAGGATGCTCGGCCTAATGGCAGCCACCTCCTCTGTGACTCCTTTAGGCCTGCTTCAAATGCGGCCTATCCAATTTTGGCTCAAAGCCCACGTCCCGTCCCACGCCTGGCACCTGTGTCGATTTTATGTCAGGGTAAACCATCGCTGTATCAAAGCTTTGGACCCTTGGACAACTTCTCGCCTGTTTCAACCAGGTGTGCAGTTGGGACTGACCTCCAGGAGGAAGGTAGTTACGTCGGTCGATCCACGAGCATCACCTTCATATCAACTGCCTCAAAATGATGGCGGTTTTTCTGGCCCTGAAAACCTTCCTGCCAGCTTTAAGAGGGCACCACATCCTGGTCAGATCTGACAACATGACGGTGGTAGCCTATATCAACCACCAAGGTGGTCTCAGGTCACGTTCCCTTTACAGGATGGCTCGATGCCTCCTACTTTGGGCACATAGCAGACTCCTCTCAATCAGAGCGGTTCATGTGCCGGGCAGTCTGAACATTGGCGCAGACATGCTGTCCAGAGGCAATGTAGCTCCGGGAGAATGGACACTACATCCTTTGACGGTTCAGAAAATCTGGTCTGTCTTCAGGATGGCAGAGGTCGACCGCTTCACCTCAGAAGACAAGTCTCACTGCCCGATCTATTCCATACAGCGAGATGTTCTGGCCCACAATTGGCCCAGCTCTTGCCTGTACGCCTTCCCCTGATTGCCCTGCTTCCTCAGGTCATCAGACGGGTCAGGGAAGTTGGTTGCTCAGTCCCCCTGGTGGCCTTACTTTGGAAGAGCCAAGCTTGGTTCCCCGAGTTAGTGCAGCTGTCACCATTATAGAGAGACCTTCTCTCGCAGGCGAAGGGCATGATTTGGCACCCCCGGCCAGAGCTGTGGAGCCTTCATGTCTGGAACCTCGATGGGAGCCTATGCAGCTTCCAACGAGAGTGAGCAACGCCATTTTAGAGGCTAGAGCACCATCTACGAGACGTCTTTACGCCCTCAAATGGTCAGTCTTCTGTGACTGGTGTGCAGCACGAAGCCTGGACCCGGTTTCTTGTGACGTGTCCCACGTGCTGACTTTTTTGCAAGAGTTGTTGGACAACGGGCGTGCCCCTTCCATGCTCAAAATGTATGTGGCAGCTATCGCAGCGAATCATTCCCTCGAAGCTGGCCAGTCAGTCGGGCAGAAACAACTTGGTTGTTAGGTTCTTGAAGGGCGCCCGGAGATTGAATCCTCCTCGTCCTCAGACCGTGCCGACTTGGGACTTGTTCAATTTAATTCAAGCTTATTTGTATAGCGCTTTTCACAATACAAATCGTTGCAAAGCAGCTTTACAGAAAATTAAGTTTCTACAATATATTTAGTAGTAGCTTGTCAGTGGTGACTATGTCAAATTGATGTACATATGGCAGAAATGTATTGTAAAATTCAGTTAATGACATAATCAAACAGACGATGAACACTATTAACAGCAATGATTATATGGTGCAATCAAATTTGTAGCAAAATTTGGTAGTTTATGTTGTTTCAGGGTTGGCATCATCTGAGGTTTTCCTTGTCCATAGTCCTGAGGGCCCTAAGGGGAATTTGGGATTTGGGCCTAACGACTGTAAGATCGTCTTCAAGCCATGACAAGGTTATGTGCCTAAGGTGCTCTCAACTCCGTTTAGAGCCCAGGTTATTACCCTTATAGCGCTCCCCGCTGTGGACTTTTTATATATGTAGCGTCTGGACCAATCAAAAACACAATTTTTCATTTGATTTAACAAATCAGTTATTCATTAGATTAACAAGTCGTCACAGACCCCTCACCCAATAGACTGGGCGCCAGGATGTCTGCGAATGACCACAGGCCACTGGTTACCATGGCAACCCCGACACCTTTGCTAAGACCAGAGCCATTTACGACCTGATGGAATGTGAGTAGGGAAAATCACTGCATGTTCCATAGCAAGAGGCACAATGCACAGTAGAAATGGACTTTTCTACTAATTAATGCATAGGAAAACCTTTCTTTGAATGAACACACATAGCCTTCAGGTCATCGTGTATGTTGTCTTTGAGATTTTATACTGTTTTACGCAGGCTTGTGATGGAAACACTCATTCCTGTCATCTTACATATATGTAACCCTACCATGTTTAGTATCTATGAATTAGTCTTCTGATGATCTAAACGAGAGTGTATATTATATGTTGGTACATAGGCAATATATTAGTGTCCTGAGAATCTTTAGTAATTTCGATTCAAGTTCCATTTGCAAATTACCATGCTTAGAGACAAAGGGTCGTAAAACCCTCCAGCAATTGCCACCTCCCGCTTGGAATTTCCGTCTTTCTCATTGGACAAGCCCCTCTTGAGAGGCGTGAATCTTCCGAGACCTTAAAAAGGCCTCACACCAGGGACCCGCCCAGAATCAGTGGTTTGTTTGAATTCTGAGAAGATGTGAGCTACAATGCTCCAGGACATCTCTAAGTACGTGCCAGGCTTCGGCCTTGACTTTTCCGTTGTTCATTGTTTGCTCATAACTGGAGTCACTTAATCATGCAGATTTATGCTACAAGCTCTTTGTAGAATTGTACAGTAAGAAAGTTATTTCCCTTAACCAGGAAATTAACGTTCTTAGAATTGACAGACAGTTGACCCTGAGAGGTCAAGTAAATATCTACAGCGGATCTAAATATTTATAATTAATTATAACTAGTTATGATTAATTATTCATATTTCCCTTATGAGCTGATTCGCTACATATATTTAATTGCTTCTTTTCCATTTTGCATTTACTTGTACTTTTATTTTCAATACTTAAGTACGTTTAAGATTTAAAAAATACTTTTCGTACTTAAGTACAATAAATATCACATACTTTAAGACTTTTACTCAAGTAATATTCAGGTACTTTATACACCACTGTGAATCGATGACTGTCGCTTCAGTCGAATGATTCTGATGAAAAGACGCTCTGAGCCGACTTATATAGAGGTTGGCTCCGCCCATTCTGGTGGGCTATAGCGCCATTGGTTTGTGCAGCTCAACAAGCCTCAGCAAATCAGGCTTAAGTGTCAGTGTAAACAGGAGCTTCCCCATACACAATGCTCGTTCCCTTATCTCAGGGAACCAAGGTTACGTCAGTAACTGGAGCGTTTTGCTATTACTTGGTGACACTAGTGGTGCAGAAATTACCCATTTCACCTTTAAGGTCAAATATAAGGTGACCTGTTTGCCACTAACAAGTTACTGTTCTACTAGTAGAATTACACTCTACACAAGTAGTGCTGCAGGGATAACGTATTTTAGTAGGCCAAACCTGGTTAGCATTTTAACACTTCCGGTTCCATCATCCTGAAGTCAATGTTTTTTTTTAAATGGGTTTTTTGGGTAAATGCCTGGAGTGGTGAGCACAAGCTCAAGATATTGTCACGTTTTATTCAATGACTTAAAATACATCTGTAATAACACCTTGTGTTTTTTAAGCTTTTACTTGTCTTGATAAAGGTGGTTGCTAACAAGTAGCTAAATATGACTACATAGGTCGTCTGGGACATTAAACCTCATCAAAGCAAACAGGTAAACTACTCATTAAAGCCTCATTGTGTTTATAGTCACACTCTTGCAAAATATTGTAGCTCAAACTTTCAGGGAAAATTTTTTTGTATAAAGACTGAAAGAGTTGTTGGTAGATCAATGGTGGTGACATTGAAGTCATGTGACTGGTGTAGCCTACGTTTTTACTTCTTACTTTCTGCAATAATCCAAGAGCCAATGAAAAAAATTATATTGTGTTTTTGTCGATGGAACCAGGGTGATGTTAACTTCTGGGTTGGCCTCCAAAAATATGTCACCATTGCAGCGCTCTATTGTGGATCCATACAGCGAATTGTTGCAAGAGTACCCTTGAGTGGCCTGAAGAGTCTTCACTTAAGTGTTCCAATAAGAGCATCTACTCCCAAGCCATTAACAATTTACTGAATGCTACAAACACACGATGTCCAGGGTCACTGAAGAGAAAGAGGAAATTAAAAAATAAATATCAGAAGCAAAGAAGAGCACTGAAGACAATGTATTTTTTAAACAACATTACTCAAAACTGGGGCACTGGAATCAGTATTTTAGAAAATGGGTTTTGAGGTGTTCCTGGGTTTGTTTGTTTTTGTTGTTGTTGTTGTTGTTGTTTTACAACAAAGAGTCATGACAAGACGAGCTGAAACTTGTAACTACTTACAAAAGAATATGGTCTGCAACATTCTAACACCGGTTGCTGGAAGTATAGCACGGGTCATGCGTTTACTGTCGACTACTAGTGTAGGCAGCGGCTGCATCCGAAAAACTGAAAAATACTGCCTCTGCAGCATACTAAGGTGGCAAGGCAACAAGGCACATATGAATCTAATGATCGTGTCACATCTAATCTGAATGATTTTTGAAGGCAGCACAGTATCCTTCGCTGCATATGACATCCCACAGTCCTGTGTGTTCCATTACATGACAGTTGAGCTAAAAAATAAAGATGGTGCATGAAAGTGGTTGGTGGTAATTTTTTCCACTTTTGATATAATTTCTAGTAGGGATGCACCAGTATCGGGCCCGATACTGAGCTCCTGTACTCGTACTCGTACTCGTTAAAATGCCCCGATACCAAACGCCGATACCACACAGCATGTGATAAGTGCCATATTCAGACAAAAAAACTCCGACAACAGAACAACAGACAGCAGAATGGAGTTAAGGATGTCTACTACGAAGTATATGTATGCAATGAATATAACATTAAACATTCAGTATTAACGCCTGTATAGCTGATGTAAGTGGGTGCAGGACACTATAGTTAATTTGTGTAAAGTGAGGATAGCAAAATAAAGTAAACTGTGACAAATCATACCCAAAAATTCTTCATACAGTGGACTACCAGTAAAATTGCTACAAATTTGGAACCAAAAATTATTCAGACCGAGTCTGGTGAAAAAAATTGAAGTTGAGGTTTTCATGAAGCTGGGTGACAGCA